TCCTAAAAGATAAGTGAAATAGGATATATCAGATATGGCCACTCTGGGACTACTTTTTCAAAGCTGGTTACAACAGCAAACTTGGTTACAACAACAACAACAACAACAACAACAACAACAACAACAACAACAACAACAACAACAACAACAACAACAACAACAACAACAACTGAGGGCGGAACTCTCGAGCGGAACGGACGTGTTTGTTATCACTCCTGTATTAAGCGATTTTGTTTTTGAAAATATTGTTTTATTTGTATTTCAATGATTTGCTAAGTGTGTTAGGAGTGTTGGGCTATACATAAAAGTTATAGACGTGTCCTCTTAAATAAAATTTTGAAATAAATAGTCCATTTGTTCGCCCAAATATGTCGAAGGACACAAGAAGCCGCTCGGATTTACGTAAAGAACTAGAAGCCCATTTTAAATCTGATGAATTTATAAATGCGGTTAATGGCGTGATAAGTAAAGGAATGGGTAGATTCCTGGTTTCAGAAGAGTTTAAAACTATGATGCTATCAACTACTACAGCAGTTGTATCTGAAGTAATGTCTAACACTATTGAATCTCTCGTCAAGAAAGAAATCGAAGCATCTGTACAACCTCTAAGAGATCAAATCTCAGTATTAGAAAGCCAAATAAACGAAGCGAAATTACATTCTAATGATAATGAACAATATTCAAGGCGATGTAACCTAAGAATTTATGGTATTCCTGAGACGGATGGTGAAAATTGCTATGATCTTGTTACAGCGTTTTGTAAGGAAGATCTGAAATGCGATTTTGACAAAAATGAAATCGATCGAACTCATCGGGTCGGCAAAGTTAAAGAGGGTTCTATATCGCCTCGTGCGATAATTGTTAAGTTTATCTCTTATCAAACAAAGGCAAAAGTACTGAACAACCGTCGTAATTTGAAGGGCCGTAAATTTTTTGTAAACGAAGATCTTACTATATTTAACAAAATTCTTTTTGATAAGGCCCGAAGATCGCTAGATAAGTTACCAGTATGGACCGCAGACGGGAAAGTTCTGGTTAGGTCAGCGAATGCTAAAATTGTACGACTGAGAAAAGTAGAGGACATTGAGAACGTGTTAAATGTTAGTTAATTTTTTTCTACCCACATCCTACATGTTATATACACTTGTGCTTATATAGCATGCTTTATTTATCTTCTATCTCAAACATGCTTTCATTATATTTTAATATTCAGATATTTGTGTGTTCACTTGTGCAGCCCGAGGTAAGTTTATTGTGTATTAAATTTTGTAATGGGGGTTAGTTTAGAGATTTATAGAGCAGCTATCGGGGTGTTTAATCGACGTGTATTTACAATTCATAAGAAATTATCAAATTTGTCTTCGCTTTTAATTTGTAAATCCTTAGTTAATGGTGTTATTTTATATTTAATATTGTGTATACTATTGATGGTAGCTGGAGATATTGAGACCAATCCTGGCCCTCCTCGAAATTTAACTTTGAATATGGGTCACATTAATGCTCGAAGTTTGAATATTGAAGATAAATTTGATGAAATATGTTGTCTTGTCCATAATGTAAATTTGGACATTTTGGCCGTTTCAGAAACCTGGCTAAATGACCGCATTTCTAGTGATTCCTTAAATATTCAAGGTTTTGCACCAATAATCCGTTTAGATAGACAGAATTGTCGGAGGGCCGGTGGAGTTGCATTGTATATTTCATCTAGTATTGCATATAGGCGATGGTTGGATCTCGAAAATTGTGAATTTGAATTGTTGTTTGTTGAATTTAAAATTTGCAATACTAATTTTGTTTGTGCAGTTTGTTATCGGACACCAAATTATAGTGCTACTATGAACACTGCTTTCTTAACGCATTTGCAAAATTGTTTGGATCGAATACGTTTAATGCCTAATACCTTTGTTGTACTCCTTGGGGATTTTAATGCTCATTTCGATGAGGGTTCTGTATCACAAAGTGCCGATTTTGGTGCTTGCTTATATAGTTGGATAGAATGTAATAATTTATATCAGGTCATAAAGGACCCAACGCGAGTGACATCACATAGTGCAACCCTGTTGGATCTTATAATAACAAATTATCCAGGCTACTTTGTGTTTTCTGATGTATTAAGCCCTCCTAGCGGCTGTGATCACTCTTTTGTTTATGCTCGTATAAATGTTTTCCCTGATAAACAAAAATGTTATAAACATCAGATTTGGGACTTTAAAACAATTGATTACGCGGTATTATGTCAAAATTTACTTAATATTGATTATGATAACATAGTTACGAATAGTATAGATATAGATGATATATATTATAAATGGCATAAAGAATTTTGTGAAACTCTTGAGATTAGCATACCTAATCGAACAGTAATAATTCGTCCTAGAGATAAACCTTGGATGAATTCGGGTATAAGAAAGGAAATTCGTAAGAGAAATAGACTGCTAAAATATTATTGTACACATAAAAGTCCTGAAGCATGGGAAAATTATAGAGCGCAAAGAAATTTGACAACGTCACATATATGCATTGCCAAAGAGACCTTTTATGTTAAAATTAATGAGAAATTGCAAAACCCGGAAATAGCCCCCAAGAAATGGTGGGGCTTAATAAAATTACATTATGGAAATAAGATTCATTCAAATATACCAGCGTTGGTAGACGGGGATCGAGTGATAACGGATTCGAAAGAAAAAGCTATATTATTTAATGATTACTTTTGCTCTATATATGAAATCGGAAATGCAGATACTGTTTTGCCGAGTTTGGATGTTTTTCAAGATGTAAAGTTCATTGATAATATTTCCACTTCAACTCAGGAAATAAACGTTTTACTTAAGAATGTTGATGTTTCTAAAGCATGTGGCTATGATGGTATAGGAAATAAAATACTTAAGATTTGTGCAGACAATATTACAAATCCTTTATGCCATATTATTAATGAATCTGGCTAAATTGCAGAATACCCATCCACTAGTAATATTATATCAAGTAGCTACCATTTCACTGGATACGCGGATACGTGGTCCGACAGTTAAGCAAGGAAAATTGTCAGCGGAGAACATCAATAGATTAAATTCTCATGAAGTGCAGTATATTACGTGCAGTATATTATTTTGGTGGATGTGCGGCTACGCAGTGAGTTCAATTAAAAATGACGTAATGATAAGATAGATGTAGTATTTATTGGATACGCGGCTACGCAGTGAGTTCAATTAAAAATGATGCAATGATAAGATAGATTTAGTATTTATTGGATACGCGGATACGTGGCTACGAAGTTAGTTAAATTAAAAATGACGTAATGATAAGATAGATGTAGTATTTATTGGATACGCGGATACGTGGCAACGCAGTGAGTTAAATTGAAAATGACGTAATGATAAGATAGATGTAGTATTTATTGGATACGCGGATACGTGGCTACGCGGTGAGTTAAATTGAAAATGACGTATAAAGTGCGACAATAATACCACATCTTATTGCCTCGTTCTTTAAAAACGATGCGTATAAACTACGACAATAAATACCATATCTTATAATTGCCTCGTTCTTTGAAAAACCTCATTCCACTTATAAACACGATGCATATAAACTACGACAATGTATAAACTACGACAATAATACCACATCCTATTGCCTCGTTCTTTAAAAACGATGCGTATAAACTACGACAATAAATACCATATCTTATAATTGCCTCGTTCTTTAAAAACCTCATTCCACTTATAAACACGATGCATATAAACTACGACAATGTATAAACTACGACAATAATACCACATCCTATTGCCTCGTTCTTTAAAAACGATGCGTATAAACTACGACAATAAATACCATATCTTATAATTGCCTCGTTCTTTGAAAAACCTCATTCCACTTATAAACACGATGCATATAAACTACGACAATGTATAAACTACGACAATAATACCACACCCTACTGCCTCGTTCTTTAAAAACGATGCGTATAAACTACGACAATAACTACCATATTTTATAATTGCCTCGTTCTTTAAAAACCTCATTCCACTTACAAACACGATGTACTATTTAAAGCACGCGTAGGAGTGTTTTATCACATATAAAACACGACGCGTAGCGGAGTGTTTTATATGTGATAAAACACGACTACAAGTGCTTTAAATAGCTTACAAAACGACTCATCTTATACGAGTTCATTGGCGAAGAAATTTTTAAAATAAACTTTGTCTAAACCGAGAAAATCAAAGCTAAAGTTTATGTAAATTAACGTGATTTTTTATCACATATAAAACCACGACACGCTTATGATTTTTCTTTGTGTTTTGCTCCTGAATTATTAATGAGTTTTTTAAGCATATATAAACTACGCGACAATGTATAAACTACGACAATAATACCACATCTTATTGCCTCATTCTTTAAAAACTAATTGCAATATAAACACGAAAGATGCATATAAACTGCGACAATAATAAGATATCTTCTTATCAACTTATATACACGAACGATGTCCATGCATATAAACTTATAAACACGAACGATGTCCATGCATATAAACTTATAAACACGAACGATGCGTATAAACTACAACAATACTGAAATTTAACACCATGCACACAAATCTATATATTACTGTATTTGCTTTTTATATTTCAAAACCAATTTCAACTATATCACATATTTTAACAACACTTCAAAATTCACAATAAATTTTTTTAACATCCCAAAGAAACGTTGAAAACAAGTCTTTTCCCTTATGTTCGTAACGCCACAAAAACTCAGCTAAGTAAGAAGAAAACGCAATCTTTCGAACACCAAACGATGGCATTTTGCATTTGGCCTGCCTCCAGTGCCCTTCAATTTTGTTCGTATGATCTCCATCATTGTTAACAAACTCTTTGGAATGGTTCACTAAGCGATGTTCATACCCATGTTTTTCTAAGTTTATATACGCTTTCCAACAGTCTGATACTATGATTGAGCCTTTCGCAATATGCCTTTCAATTATCGGTAATAACGTGGACTCGTCTCTTTTTTCCACGGCTACCATAAAACTTCTTCTTGACTCCTCCTCGATTCCCCCCAAAGACCCACTGACCTTCCACACGATGTCCACGATGATACTTTCTCTTTCCAAATTTGCTTTCATCAATCTGCACAATCTTGCCAGGACCGCCAATTGGATGTTCGCGTTCCATAAGTGTAACTTCGCACGTTTCTCGACAAAAGCTATCCCAGTCAACTGCTGTATGAGTGGCAATATTCAACTCATGTCGTATTTCCTCTTGTCTCACATCACGGCACCACCAATAAGTAAACTTCAACACTTCTTCAAGGGTCATGTTGCTTTTTTCAAACCAGCTGCCTTTCCGAATTGATATCTCGACCTTGTGCCTCTTGCCATTCACGCTTTTACGGCATTCCCATTT